AAATAAATAAATAAATAAATAAATTCATTCATTCATTCATTCATTCATTCATTCATTCATTCCATGGGGAGATCTGCAGCAAGTTCTTACAAAAGTTGCATTCCAATAGGAGACAATGGAAATCTCAAAGCAGCTAAAGCTGGGAAGCCTGGTGCCCTTCCTATGTTCTAGATTAGAATTCTGGGTTTTTTATCCTATACCAACTGCTAGGACAACCTTCACACCTCTGGAAGTGCCACTCAGGACACAAGGAATATATGCAAGTCCATCTACAGGTTCTCTCATCTGATCACAGAACAATCAACAGACCATCCAATTATTTCTAACACATATACCTAAAGAAAAATATTTTTTCCTTGCCTGACTAGCAATCCAATCTCTCACAGTAAGTTCCTTCAAAACTTCTCTTGCTTCTTGCATATCCACTGGGATATAACAGTCCATCGACACACCAGATCTAGGAGGAAAAAGTATCACTGGTTTGTATCACTGGTTTGTATCACTGGTGATAGCATGAAGTCAATTTAGACAGTGATTACTTGTACATGCTGCACTACACTTCCCAGCTCTTGGGCTTCAGATCTTTCAAAGAGAAAGTTGACTTAACAGGATTTGCAGCTGTCCTTCAAAGAAACCACTGTGGTTTTATTTACTTACTTACAGCATAAAACCAGAGAAAAGCTGAAATAAGGACATGGGCAGGAAGGACAAACAATTTATTTTATCTCGTTCTATGTAGTTTGGAGATGACGGGATGTTTGTTATTGCAAGACTCAGAATAGCCCATGGCATGGCAGTGATTTTTGCTCCTTGTTTTCGATATTTTGAGATGAACAAGTCTGAGGACAACCACCGGCAACTATCTGGCAGGATTGTGGGTATGGAAGCAGCGGTAATGTGGAAATCCCTTAATAATCTCATGAGCCCAGGGCTTTCATCTTTAAAGGTAGTGGGACATCTTGTAAGGCATAATGATTTGAAGAATTTTGAAGACATTCAAGTCTTATTTCAGTTACAAAGATAGCTGGATAAATGGGCTACTAACTACTCTGCAACCCAGCTGACCTTGCAGAATGGCTGGGAGAATATAATTGGACTGGACACATCATTCTGAGCAGATAGAAGAAAGGTGGCAGATAAATGCAACAAACAAACAATCCATTCAGATGTTAAATTCCCTTGGGTGATGCTAGTGAATAAAGACCTGGAATACTCTCCCAAATGCACGCTACTCACCTTGGTTTTAAAAAGCTTGCTGTTAAACAAGGAGGTGAGGAAAAGATTGCTTCTATCTCCCTACCAAAAATTTAAAAAAAAAACAATTAATAAAACAATAGCATACCAGCCCAGCTTTATGCATGCTGGACTAGTCAAATTTTTTCTTGATTCATACAGTCTAAAAAAATTTACAGATGTAACCATAATTTTCAAAATTAATGCCAGAGATAATAGAAATGGAATATACAGTGACCACTCCAATATTATGCTTGCTTGGAAATAACTCCCACTCTGTCCGATGTGACTTAAATCACTTTAGTTTATAATCTGAATAAAGTGTGAATCAAAGAATATAAACAATAGTTCATCAACATCCATGTAAATTTTGACAAAGTTTACTTTTCACATACATCAATGTACAAATCTCACATCCTATGCTTCTTTTCTTCCTTTTGAATAATAAACTTTAAGGTTTACTATTAGGTCAGAAATAGTAAATTATGTCATACTTGGCACTGAATGAAATACCACCATTGACAGGAAGAAAAACTGTATGCAGCGAGTGTAGAAAAACACTGCCTTCCAGATATTGCTGAACTACAATTTCAAACAGCTCTTGATATGGCCAATTGTGAGAAATGCTAGAAACTAAGATTCAACAACATCTGGAAAGTTACAAGTTCCCTGTAATATAAAGACTTTTGATGTACATTTTTAAAATTTATTTATACATCACATTTATATAGCTGCCCATCTCTCACAAGCTCTGGGCAGCGTACAACATTATTTATTTATTTAAACAATCACTAGTTTCTTTACTGGCCAGCACCGGTCACAGGGAAGTCAGCTCATCCGGGCTTCCTTCCTCCACCGATCCTCCACCAATCGTGTCTAGGCAGGTCCAGCACCGGTTCCTGCTCCCTGCACAGAACGCCACCAGCATTTCCTCCCACCAAAATGGGACTACCTATTTATCTACTCGCAGATGGTATGCTTTTGAACTGCTGGGCGGGCAGGAGCTAGGGATGAAATGACAGGAGCTCACTCTGTCATGCAGAGCTGAACTTGAACCGCTGGAGTGTCGACCATTTCTGGCTGGCAAACTCCAGTGTCATTCAGCTGCTACGCCACCATGTCCCCAATTGAAAAAACTGAATGTACAAAATGTGCATTCAAAAATAGCATTAGTCTTTGTATGGGAAACTTGCACAGTGCATAACACCTTAGTTCCTCTCATTAACATTTGCTCAAGCTCCATAAACTTGGCCACACCATCCAGTGATCAGCTATCTGATCTGAACAGACAGAACTTTCTCCAATTCTAACAGGACCAGAAAGGTGACCCATATATCTGCTGGAGAGCAGTTTCCAAATTCAAAGATAAGAACAGGATGGAACGTAATATTTTAGACTATTTATACGCCTTTTGTTCCCTTAATGGTTCAGGGGTGCTGTAATGGTATGTGGGAATGACCCTGGGAGACGGAAGGAAGAGCTACAGCCTAGACAACAGTTAGATAACAGGGTGCTATGCCTGCAGAAGGAATGAGGGAATGGCAAACATCTCAGAAGGGACCCTCCCTAGTTTTTTGGACTCTAAAGGCAAGGGGGAGAGATTCTGCTAATGTAACCTTACAATAAAGATACTGCTAGTACTCTTGGGTGTGCCTCTTGCTTGGACTACCAAGAAGGACTGGCAGGTGCTTACAGAAATACAATTCTCCCATCAGAAATAAGGCAATGCAAGTAGCAACCTTTTAGCATTCTTCTGTGTTTTACTTCCTACTTCTGCTGACTTCCATTTCTCAATCAGTCCTCTGTCCAGTTGGCTGATCCTAGGCAAGACTTCCAAAGAGGCAGCTGTGTTTCTACATGCAGAAGCCTTAACAAAGAAAAACCCAAGTGAAAAAGTCTTGTTACTATCTCACACACCGATGCTTCATAATATAAACCTTTGAGAAGGTGGAGATCCCTGGTCAATTCTATTAATGTTCCTGTAGGAAGTGGGGATGCAACTTTGGGGAAACTAACATCTGTGTAATGTTTGAAAATATCATTGTGTTTTGCTGAATCATCCAAATGTCTATCCAGAAAGAAGTTAACTTTTGTGGGCAGTGGAAAAACACATTCCATTTAGGCAAGTTGGTACTTATTCGGTTAGCTGCATTCCCAAAATATGCACAGATGCAGAAAGTTCTTTGATATTGAGTGGGTTCACATATTGTGCTAAGCCCATAGCATGCAGCTTTCTCTGGGCCAAGGCTCTTGAATGATTCACCAAGGGCAGAGGGTGGTTCAAGAAACCACTGACAATTCTGTATGTTTAAAATTAGAATTACTAATATTAATGGGATTACTTTCCAGTCACATAGTTCAAATTTTCCATCTTCTTCTAAGTCATTAAATATTTTAATTGGGTAATTGGTGGTTCTCTGCAGGCTGTACCCAAGGCTTTGGAGGATACATTAGGACATGGGGCCTCCAGATATCATATTTAGTTCTAATATGGATTGTTTGGCTCGTCTTTGCATATTGTGTGAATTCAGTCCATGTGGACTGTATTATATAGTTAATGACGCAGCATGCTGGGTGATCCCAAACAGTGATCTATTCAATAAATTATGCTTAAACAGACTTAAGTTGATTTGTTCACCCAACCATTATTCTTCCACTATTTTAGAGGGCACAGGAAAGAAATACTGAGAGCTTTCATTAAGTATCTAAATTTGGGTCCAAGATGGGATCAAAGTTCAGATTTTTGGACTAGTTCTTTCCCTATTAGTCACATATAGTGTCTTTATAGCATCTCCTAACTGAAGTGATGCAAAACCTGTCCTCATTACTATTAATTTAGCATATTGATGGTTTGATAAAGACACTGTACTGCGCTAGTGAGGAAATTACTTATGGTTTACATTCTTCACATTTCAAATGGCCATTTTAGTAAAGGTGGAGAGATATCCCCTGGTGGTTCCAGGCACTTTGGACTTTAATTCTCAGCCAGGAATTATGAGAAATGAAGTGCGTCAGATTGCAGGAGAGAGATCTAAATAGTATTCTAATTAATAAGCTCTTTTGGTTTTATCTTCTCTTGGGATAACTCCTGACGTCAAGACAGTTTACAAAAGAAATAAGCAAAGTACCTGAAATATATTGACAAAGTTGACATATGTTCCAGCAAAAACTTGGGCTCCCAACAATACTGCAATGATATGAACATAAATGAATCATTATCACATTAAGTACAAAATTTGTCTAGTTTCTTTTTCTTCCTTTCTCTTGGGATTTACAGTGTATCATTGTAGGGATGCTTCTGAAATTTCCAAAAGGAATCTACCTACAACTTACTATTTCTTTATCTCTCAAAATCTTTTTTCTTCATTAACTTTTCTAACATAACATGCAGCAACTCTCTTTTTCTCCATTAACAGAGATACATTTTCTTTGCATGACAATCAGAAAGAGAATTCTGTACTCATCCCAATCATGCATTAAGTTTAATTTTGCAACCAGAATGTTGTGCAAATTAAGAGATTACAATTTCATAATTACTGTATTTTTTAAAAAACCTTTATTTTGCTTTTGTTGGTCAAGGAATTATATATCTATACAATTCTCTATATCTACCCTTTGCCAACTGATTAAAATGGTGAGACTCCTAAAACTACTGCATCCTTTTCCACCACCAGGATAAATGCATATTCATCTGCACTCTTCCCAGTTCTTGTCAGCTGGAGATGGCAGAATATCCTGTTTGGAAATTCAGAAGTTGCCAGCTAATCAAACCCAAACAATGATGACATTTGCTTCCTCAAAAATCAGAAAAAAACAGCCTTCTAATTCCTACATTTTAAAAAAACTAACAGAACAGTCATTTGGAGCAGTAACTCAGAGCCATGATAATATAGCAATTACGGTCTTGATTTAGGACAAAGGACAATGAATTCTGAGTCCACTTTCAGCCATGGAAGCACACTGGGTGACTTACGTCTGGCCACTAAGTTTCAACCCAAACCACCTCACAGAGTTTTGGGGGTTATGTTACTGAGAAAAAAAATGGAGTCTTATGTATATCACCCTAGGCTTCTAGAGTAAAGGCACAATAAAAATCTAGAAAGATTTAACCCAATAGAACGTCAGAAAATATAAGCTAATCGAACACTGAACAGAATATACTCAAATCAAATCTGACTTGTAGGTATCGCTTTTTCAGAGGAAAAATTAACCATCTGTTTGATTCTTTCAAAGCAATTTTATGTCTTAAATGTGTGTGTGGGTTTGGCTGGGTGTTGCTCCCTGTGTTATGGTATTAACACTATTTTGCATTCTGGATTTGTGTTTACAAAGAGGTACCATTACGCTCCAGAAGAGCACTGAGGTCAATACACTTTCTCTCCTCCTGTCTGCTGTCCAATCCTGGACTTTCCCTGTGCTGCAGAGGTCCACGTCCAAAAGACCAGAGTTGCCCAGAAGCAGAGACACAGAGAGTGTGATAGCTGCAGAAAAACCAAGATACTGTCAACTTCCCATATGAACTACTCTGCATTCACCCCAAAGACCAGTGTTTTTCAACCTTGGCCACTTCCAGATGTGTGGACTTCCACTCCCAGAATTCCCCAGCCAGCCATAGTGTTGAAAAACACTGCCATAGACTATAAAACTCCAATTTTGTTTTTTGTCTGTTACTGTTAAGACAACCCAAACCAAAACTTTTGATAAATAATGTTATTCCTTTGTTAGAATGTCATATCTGTCGAGTGGAATATTACACTTCAGAGAGGGACCTTTATACCACTTGAAGATATAACTCTACACACTCCGTCCAATTACAAATTAATTTAATCTAATCCATCCTTTTATACAGCTTGCTGCAAAAGATGCCCTCTATTTGCTTTGGACTTAATTCTGCTAGACCCCAATACAGCCAATACAGCCCTTCAGGAAGTCTGTGTTTAAGCTACATCTGTCTTTTTCAACATATATGTGATTGTTTTGTTCTCATTCTATTTTCACTGCTCAAGGAGGCTGTTTGTTCTATCCAAACTGAAGATGGATCCAAATCAAATGGATTTTACAGTTTCAGACGCCAGAATTACTGTATCAAAGTTGGAAGAAGCCATTAAGGTATTAAGTACAACCCCTGCTCTGAGCAGGAAAATAAACAATTGGTCCTCAGAAGGGAAATCTAGGCAAGGTTGTTTGCGGATAAGAAAAGGGTTTGAAAAAGTCAAGATGATAAGTGTGACTGTGTGTGTGAAGCCTCACCCCTTTTTATGTGCTTCAGCGCAGGGGTTTGATTGTACAGTAAAGGCTGCCATCTTGACTTTTTTGACCCCTCCCCCAGAGTTTCCTGCTCCTGGGCAATTGGTTCCATTGTCAGACTGCTGCTATTGTTACAAAACACCCATAACGTTCAATTGGAATCTAATTATTTTATGTTAAATCCATTATTCTGTGTCCTGCATGCTAGAACGATAGACTGTCTTCCATGCAACATCCTTTTAGGTATTTTTAGGTATTTTTGGCCCTTATCAAGTCTTCCCTTCTCAAGACCAGATGGGCCCAACACCTTTCACCTCTCTTCAGAGGATTTCATTTCTAGTCCTCTAACCATTCTTACTCTCCTTATCTGAACTTATTCCAGTTGGGACCTTTCTTGACGTACGGTGTCCAAACCTGGACACAATATTCAAGGTGGGCTATGATCAGTGAACACTAAAGAAGAATGATTACTTCCTGTGATCTGGAATATATACTTCTATTGATGCAACCTAAAATTGCACTTTTCTTTTTTGTAACCACATCACATTACTCACCCCTATTCAGTTTGTGTTCAGCTGCTATTCCAATATCTTTTTCATAAGTACTATTACCAAATCACCTAACTGTATCTTGTGCCTGTGTATTTGATTTCTCTTTTCACATTGAAGATTTTTGCCTTTGCCTCTGTTAAATTTAATTGTTATTTTTAGCCCACTTCTCTAGTCTATTGGAATTACTCTGAATTTTATTTCTGTCTTCTGGGATATTATCTATTGCCCAATTTTATATCAACAGCAAAGTTAATAAGCATTTCCTCCATCATGTTATTCATGTCATTAATAAAACTGTAGGCCTTAGACTGTATCCTGTGGCACCTGATAGCTTATTCTGTTTTCATAAGGAACCATTCCTTTTATTCAATTTTTGTTTATTATTCATTTAACTAACGCTTGTTCTTGATAAATTCTTGTTGAAATCTAGTAATTAGCATATTGCTTTGAAGATACTTAGGGTGTTCTTCACAAATCTGGTGAGCACACATTTATTTTAGTACTGCAGCGTAGAATCACCAACTATCATTATTCTTCTTTGTCTTTCCGTAGAATTCAGCTCCATCCCTCTGCCCTTCAGGCATCCATCATTCTCTTTTATGGTGTCTCTCTTTCTTTCATTTTTTCCTGAGTTCAGCGATGCAAAATATTTCCAACATTTTTGGGTTCAGATTGTCATGGTTGGGCTTACTTGTTTGATTTTCTTTGTCATGAAGAACTTCTTCTGAAAGCTGGTGGGAGTGACTGCTTTGTTAGAGCTGCTAAATCTTCCCCTCTCTTCTCGGCTGACCATTTTTGCTATAATCCTCTGATGTTTTCTTTAAGCATTGTTACAAGTCTACTTTTGCTGAAAATATATGCCACGTTGTTTTGAGGAAGGACTATAAACAGACTTTAAGCACTGCAGGTCCCAACTGCAGAGCCCTATTCATTCATCTTATTTCTCTTTCTTCAGGTATCACCAGAGAATTTTTATTTCCTCTGGTTCCTTTCTCAGATTTTCAGGCTAACAGGGTACACAGAGTTCACATGCAGGAAAACTTTATACAAACTGCCTTTTAAACTTCAGTGGCAAAAGCCTGTTTTTTTCCTTTCAGTGAGCTTGCTTCCTAGAATGTGGATGCCCTTATACCTCTCTTCCAGTTTTTCCAGCAGAAAACAATCACTCAATCCCCCACAATGGGCAATTAGGAGTTCTGAGGCTACACCTCTTGCAACCACAGGTGAGAGCACCATTCCTCAGAAAAAGCAGCTTTGCTGATTGCTCTGTTCTCATCTTCCTTCTGAAACCCCTGATGAAGTTCTGTTCGCTCAGATGTTTCTTTTTTATGACATCTCTCTCCTTCTTTCTTTTTGGCCATTGAGAAACAAAATGCTGGATGGGCCCTGATCTGATCTGGCAGGACTTTGTTCTTATAAAGAACAAAATAGCATAGCAGTTTCACATACTGTTCATTCAATATTCCACAGAAGAGTGAATTTTTATTCAGCAATAATTGCTGTTCCTGACCAAGAGTAATAATAGCTGAACGGCTGCCTAAACCTTCATTGATACTCTGTTTCTGTTTTAGAGTGTTATGGTTTAGACTAACCAGATTAATAAAAGTTCACTAAATATTTCTCAGATGTATAGTCTTCTCATCAACTAAAGTTCCTGATAAACCAGCAGCCTCCAAAATATTAGAAGTGCCCAATGGAATAAAGGTTACAACTAAATTAGTTCTTAAACAAACTTTTTTTTTTTTTACATAAGCCATATAAATTTCCCTTGCAAACACATGCACACTCACTCACATAGACATGGAAGGAAAGGGATGGTACACACCTTCCACATGACACATGGGAAACTGGACCATCAATCTCATCAACTTTCTGAGGACCAGTCTTTGGAGTTGAAGAGTTGCGTCCTAATTGTCCAGCACTGTCATCTCCAAATGTGAAAACACTGCCACTCTATTAAGGGTTTTAACAAACCAAGCACCATTATCAATGCTAATGCCAACTACTTCTATCAGTTTTTTTTCCCCTAGCGAGATATATTAGTTTATTATACATTCCTGCTACAACATGATGTCTTAGAGACACCAAGGTTGTGTTTGCATGCAAATGTGCCTGACCCCAACTGCAGCCATCATTCTGAAGCATTGTCATTTGCAACAAGATAAAGAAATCAACCAAGATAATTCCCAACCCCTTTTCTCTGCTTCCACACACTTAGAGCCTGTAAGCTCATAGCTTGGATCCAGCATCAACATTAGAAAATATGGTATGGATGGGGAGGAAGGAGAAGAGCAATATCAAAGCTTTTTAAAAAAGCTAAACTGCTTCTAGCCAATGAGAAAAAAAATAACCTATGAGCAAATTAGAAAAGAATGCCGATTCAAATCCTATCTACCAGAATGACCCATTTAAAATAAAGTCCTTATGGAGAAGTGTCTGAAAATACTTCTGATTGTTAAGTAGCTCTAAGTTCATAGGTTCTGCACACCCATAATGTAATTTGGTTTTTTTGGCTTGCTTAGCAAGTTGTGTGTAACCAGCCATTGTGATTTGCAAATTACACTTTATGGCTTAGCATTTTGTATGAACCAACTGTGTTGTATTCAGTAAGCCATGATTTAAGAAAACATGGCTTGGCATATGTAAAGTAAGTCACTGTCTCCATATTACATTTGGCTGCCAAAGCCATATGGCCTTGCGAAACCTCCTGCCATATGCTATTCAAAAAAGCTTATTATATTATTATATCACTTGAAATGGAACAGTTGTCACCAAGTAATTGGCATCAAGAGTTGCTAGTTATGACGTTTATGGCTATATTACCATTACTGAAGGCCATAAGCAGGACAATATTAGTGCACCTCTTGTTGGCCACAGTGGGAACAGAATGCTGGATCAGGTAAGCTTCTGGCCTAATCTGACTGAGGTTTTCTTACATTTTTAGGCCATAGGGGCCATGACAGTTCCATCATTTCTTAGATTTAGTATGCAAAGCTTCCTGAATGTTCTGCAAAACAATTCCCAATATCCACTTAATAAACTGCTGCTAGCAATATGGCAACTTCAATTAAAGAGAGAATACCTTGGTGAGAACAGCAGTATGTTCATCTCCACAGCTAACATAAGTCACTTCAAGGTTCCTCAGGGCACCTATTGAGTAGGGTTTGAAGACCTGTTCTGTTGAAAAAAGCACACCAGAATATTGTAACATTTCATATTAATATTCCATCCCAAAGTCGATTATAATATACCATTATTTATTAAGCTACTGTGACTGAAACCATTAACAGATTTTGGATTAAAATAATCGCAGCAAATTGTGGAAGGCCACTTTAGAAGTTTACAAAATGTAAACCTTAGAATTGTCCCTGTCTTTGAAGTGAGGGAGGAAGAACTTGGCTTGAGAACAGGAGCTTGTCTACACTATGCTACAGGTAGCATTTTAAAGCTGCTGAATGGGCTGAATGCACACTTTCTAACAAGGAACACACATTCAAGCCATTACTACTCGTTTTTAGAGTCCACATTCTAATTTGAATGGGCACCTTGCATCCTATCATCCAAACTTTTAATAATTATGTCAGTTATATATTTATTAACTATATTATTTTAAAGACTGGGTATGATAGATCTAGTCCTCTGCTATCCTGTGCCATATAATTCTTTCTAAACAAAAAAATATAGACTTAAGGGACCAACCAGAGTCAGCCTGACTTTCTTAGGACCAAGTCCTATGTCAAACAGGATCTATAGCAATCACCTAAGAGAATCCGATCAGGTCATCTAAAGTATCAATTGACTGGCTTACAAGTCTATCCTTAGAACCTAACTCCCACCCCCCTCCCTCCAAATCCCCTAATCCCTCTGTAAATTCACCAAAGGTTAAGGTCTCCAATTTGTTTATAAATCTGAGTCTAGGTTTTATTTTAAACCTGATTTTTCAGTCAGTCTACCAATACTTTATTACGTTAGACTGAAAAACTGTGTTGATTTAATTTTTTTGCCCAGCTTGGAGGGACCAGTCCTACCTAGATGCAAAACTACATGGTATCTGCCTTTCCTGGCTCTAAGGTAAAGCTCTAGGAGGGGAACCTGTTCATCTATATAGATGCAATCCTTTTTTTTTTGTCTGCGCTCAGTCATTGCTGACCCTGCAGTGACTGCTTGGATGAGTCC